TAGAAAAAGTAACTTTTTTACAAGCATTAAGCTTGGGAAATGGAGGAAGACAAATGACTGAAAGGTTTAAATATATCATGTGAAAAAAAACCACTCCCATGACATACACAGAAATTTAGGAAGTTGGGGTTGCATCAACATAGAGTATTAATTTAGAATAAAAGAAAAACTCATGTTATTACAGCATAATCTCAGAAGGATGCTTTTTCTTGTCTCGAATTAATGTCTGAGTAACTTTCACTTTAGTAAAGGAATAAACATGAAGATGTAAAATATAACAAGAAATACCAATTAGAGGAAAAGGTAGTAAAAACATAGATGCTTTAGAATGTGTTTGAACCTAAAGGACTATCCATTTAAAACAAATCAATACAGAACCATGGAACCCCACAGTAACCACAAAACACAACAGATAACACAACAACAAGGACGGACCACAAATACACCACAAAGGAAAATCATCAAACCACAATGGAAGAAACAAAAAAAGGGACAGGGAAGAACCACAAAATAAGACAAAAACAAGTAATAAAATGGCAGTAAGTACATACCTATCAGTAATTAATGTCAACAGATTCTCAAGATGGAAGATTAGGTTTCTAAGATCTTTGTAAATATAAACATCAATAGCTGTAATTTCACCATGACAAGGCAGTGATCCCTGAAGGGTGATGATATATCACTTAAAGCAAAGAGGAACTAAAGAGCCTCTTGATAAGGGTAAAGGAGAAGAGTGAAAAGGCTGGCTTAATACTCAATATTAAAACTAAGATCATGGCATTCAGTCCCATCGCTTCATGGCAAATAGAAGAAAAAAGGTGAAAGCAGTGACAGATTTCCTCTTAGGCTCTAAAATAATTGCAGATGGTAACTGAAGCCATGAAATTAGAAGATGATTGCTTCTTGGCAGAAAAGCTAGGACAAACCTAGACAGTGTGTTACAAAACAAAGACATCACTTTGCCTACAAAGATCCGTATAGTCAAGGCTATGAGGTCTTTCCAGCAGTCATGTACAGATGTGAGAGCTGGACCATACGGCAGGCAGAGACGGAAGAATTAATGCTTTCAAACTGCGGCGCTGGAAAAGGCTCTTGAGAATCCCTTGGACAGCAAGGAGCTCAAACCAGTCAATCTTAAAGGAAATCAACCCTGAGCAGTGATCAAACCTGAGCCCCCTGCATTGGGAACGTGGAGTCTTAGCCACTGGACAATCGAAAAGTCCCTACCGTCCTTTATGTTTCATTACATAGTTAACTTTACCAGTGCTAATATTTGTGTGGATTCAACTTACTATCTAATGTCCTTTCATTTCTGCATGAAGGAGTCTTCAGTATTTCCTATAAGGTAGGCAGGTCTGCTACTGACAAATTTGCTCTGTGCATCTTAATTTCTTTCATTTTTGAGGAGTAATTTTGCTGCATATAGAATTCTAGGTTGAGTTTTTCTTGCAGAGCCTCTGGAAGAGGCTCCATGACTTCCTATGAGAATCAAGCTGTTAATCTTGTTAAAGATTCCTCACATGTGATCACTTTTCTCTTGCTGTTTCTCAAAGCCTGTCTTATTTAGCACTAGTTAGGCTTCTCAGATGTGCATATTCTTTTTTGTAAAATCCTGAAGTTTGAGGCAATTATTTCTCCAAATATACTGCAACCTCTTCTCTCCTAGGACCCCCATTATGTATGCTATTACACTTGATAGTGTCCCACAGATCTCTGCAGTTTTTCCCCTTTATTCCTTTAAGTTTTATTTCATATTGCAATATAGCTGATTCACAATACTGTGTTTCTATTTCTTTTTTTCTGATTAGGCTACTCTCAAGTGATAACCTCTCATTCAAATTTGTTGAATATTTCTAGCAGTTCAAATCTGCTTTTGAGGGACTCTATTGAATTTATTTCACCTGTTATAGTTTTCCAATCCAGGATTTCTGTTTGCTTCTTTTATCATAATTTCTCTTTATTGTTATTCTCTATTTGGAGAAAGATTATTCTCAAATTTAGCTTTTAAGACATGGTTTCTTCTAGTTCTCCAAACAAGCTTTTAAAGGCTAACAAAATTTTTGCTTAATTTTAAAGTTCAACACCTGGGCTTTGTCCCAGACACTTTCTTTGCAAGTCTTGTAAATTTTTGTTGAGAACTAAACATTTGAAATAATATAACATGCCAACTCTGAACAGAGAATCCCTTCCCCTCCTCAGGTTTAGCTGTGTTAGAACTTCTTGGACTGATTACTCTGTAACAAAGTCTGCACTTTTTTGCTGTATGTGACCATTATATTCTGTTTTGCTAGCTTAAATGTGAGTGATATTTGCTCAGTCGTGTCCAACTCTTTGCGACCCCAAGGACAAAGAGTGTCCTTTTCGCCAGGCTCCTCTGTTCATGAAATTCTCCAGGCAAGAAAACTGGAGTGGGTTGCCATTTCCTTCTCCATTTTGTTAGCTTAGAGGTTAGCTAATGATTGGACAGAAATGTCCTTTAATGCCTTTAAACAGTTAACTCTCCCAAACTTGAAGAAGTGCTCTTTGAAACTGTTGGGCTATGCCTTCGACACTTCAACATGCAGTTTACAACTCTGCCTTAGCTTTCACTTCCTACTTACGGAGCCTCAAGTTCTGTCACAGGTTAGATTAATGCCTTCATTTTTCTCCTGGGTATGCATACATCTTACACACGCAGCCTTTTAGATTCCCGGGAACATGCCGGAACTCTTCAAAGCCCTCTAAAGACATGGCCTTTTGTTTTGTTTTGTTTTTTTGGTCAGCATCTGTTTAGCCTCAGCTGTTATCACAGCCTCAAGCAGCTTCTATGGTGAACAGACTAAAGATACAGATGTTTGCACAGAGTGAGTAGAGTCAGGTCAAATAAAGACATAACTGGAGAACACAAAGCTTTCCAGTGAGCTACCGGACAGGTCAAATAGTGACAATTCTCTAGAGTGGGCTTTTTGTGGAGCTTCAAGCTCCCTCCAGTGGTTACTAGGCTGCTGGTTTTAACAGCTGTCACAGATGCAAGGTTACTCCTTTTCAAGGCTGACCTGGAACTGAGGAAAAGATGGTCAGGGAAATTTAAAATGTTACAAGCCATGTTGTTACAGTTTGTCAAATAAATGCTTTTTAGACAACTGGAAGGTTTTATTTTTTTAGAGTTCTGACAAAGTTGATTTTGACAACTTTTAGTGTTTTTATGGAACTTTCAATTGTTTTTATGGAACAACAGATTTTCAGAGGTCCTTACTCCATTAATTCAGAAAAGTTGTCAAGGAAGCCATTTTTATAGTTACAACAATGGAACACTAATTACTTTTCCTTTCTAATAATTATGTTTCTAAGACTTAGTAAGCCAAATATTTCTAAGTAGAAATGTGATGGGAATTTAAGAGAGATCTTTTCTCATTTGGCATTTCAATTATTTCATGTTTAGTTCTCCAAGTTAAGAGTCCTAAGACTCAATTTTCTCAAAGGTACAAGTGAAATATTGTCCTTCCCAGTGTTCAGAAGATTTAAAACGATAATGTAAACTAATTACAAAGGTACAATAATCAAAACAGAGTGGTACTGGCAAAAGAAAAGTCATACACACCAATGGAATACAAGCCCATACATAAACCATGATATATATATGGTCAATTGATTTTCATTAACTGAAAATTAATTAAGGCTGACAAGACAATTCAGTGGAGAAAGGGCAATCTTTTCAACAAATGGTGCTGGGGAAACTTCATATCCAAATGCAAACAAAGCTGATTTCTTATCTTTTGCCATATACAAAACTCAAGATGGAAAAAAAAGACCTAAACTGTTGGAGTAAAATCTTTATAATATTAGATTTGGCAATGCATTCTTGGACATGACACCAGAAGCACAGGCAACAAATAGAAAACTTGGAACTTATCAAAATTAAAAACTTTTGTATATCACAGGACACTTCTGAAAGAGTGAAAAGCCAGCCCATAGAATGGGAGAAAATATATGATTAAATCATATATCAGATGACAGATTAATATCCAGAGTATATTAAGAACTTCTATAACACACACAAACAATCCAATTAAAAATGGTCAAAAGACTTAAATGGGTATTTCTCCACAGAAGATATACAAATGGCCAGTAAGCACATGAAACTATGCTTAGCATCACAAGCCATTAGGGAAATGCAACTCAAAATCACAATGAAATAACACTGTATACCCATAAGTACAGCTATTGAAAACAAAAACAATAAGTGTTAGTGAAGAAGTGGAGAGAGTGGAATCCTGTAAAATGGTGCAGCCATTGTGGAAAAGTCTGAAGTTCCTCAAAAAATTAAATATAGAATTAACATGTGATTCATCAACTTCACTCCTAAGTGTATATCCAAAAAGAACTTAAAGAACTCAAAACAGATACTTGTACAAAAATGGTCACAGCAGCATTATTTATAACAGCAAAAAGTTTCCATCAGTCTAAGTACCCATCAACAGATGAATGGATACAGTGGAATATTGTTCAGCAATAAAAAGGAATGGAATTCTGATATATGCTACAACTTGGATGAACCTTAAAACCATTATGCTAAGAGACATTAAGACACAAAGGACAAATACTGCATGATTCCACATATATACATGCCTAAAATAGTCAAATTCAAAGAAAAATAAGAGTTTACCTGGAATGTATCACTTATCAGGTACAATTTCTGATTGGGATGATAGTTCCAGAAATAGTGGTGATGGTTAAACAACACTGTGAATGTATCTTAATGTCATTCAATTGTATGGTTAAAGTGATAAATTAGGTTATATATTTTTTACCATAATATTCATAAATTTTAAAATGATAATGTATTAGCCAAAGGCCCTATTTAGTGAGTCTTTCATTCCTCAGTTGAGAAGGTGATTATAGAAGTTACTTGGATAATACTTCATGAAACACTCATAGTTAATACTTTAACAGTACCCACCCTCCAACACACACAAACATATACACACACACACACACACACAACACTATACACTCAGTGCTCTATCAAATACCTGTAATTATATTTTGCAAAGGATTACACATCCAGTAAATTAATGATGCAAAGAATTTATATCCTCCCATACTGATGGATAAAAACACATTACATTCTCTAAGCACAAAGCTTATATTCACAATAACTTTTTGCTTAAAGACAAATGTCAATTAATAATCACAATGGAAATTTAGCTGTTTAATGCAACCACTAATCTAATGTCACCAATAAAATCTAAGCAGTTATATCACAAAACCAGAGTTATATTCAGTGAACATGCATTAATAATCTATACAATTTAACATTACACCAGAAAAGGAACTGAATACAAAATTTTCCTTGATATTTGGTGGTTTTCAAACTGCATGGCACAGATTACCCAAAAAGAAAAAAATTGTAAAAACAGATTTTAAATATTTTCAATAAAATGGTAAAAAATTGAACAAGCCGTTACGTTTTCATATTGGGGTGAATATTTAAAACATCAAGCTGGCCCCAATCTGTCAAAAATTGACAGGTAAATATTTACAATGGCTAGACAGGCTTTCAGGTACCGTGGTATTGGAGGGTAACTTTCCCCTGGTAAAAACCTTTTATGGTTAATTTCCCAATGCAAACATGTTTTCATAAATACTGTGATAATATAAACTTGGAAACATACCAGAAATCAGGACAGGGACAAAAAATAACAACACAAGTCAATCTTATTTCTGACCTGTATTCATAAAGCCTTCTGGGTCCAAACACCACACACTGTCCTTCATTATAAAACTAAATTAAGAAGAGTAGAATGACTTTACCATTCTGGCTGACATTCTTCTACAGAATTATCTTTCACTACACATCAAGGCAGGGTTCAAGCTCCATTAGCTTGCTTCTCTAGATACAGTGTAATTAGCAGAGCACCAAATTTATAAACTGATATGGCAACCCAAAATGCTAAACACACTTTTCAAACAAGCAAATTTTCCCTATTGTTAGTTCTATGTGCCATGTTATTTTTGAAACTTATGCAGCTACCAGTAAGAAAAGAATTAGGGAAGCTTTGAACATATCTTGTACTTTTCATCAAGGCTAAAGTGCAAAATATCTCCATGTCTCTGGTATTTTAATAGGAAAAAACATACACACAATAAAGGAAATGAGGTGACAATAAAATACAAAGAAAAAGACTTTTTAAAATACACACTTGAAGACTACATAAGAACAATTTTTCTTTTTTCAATGAAATCTGTGAATGAACCAAGTTCTCACAGAACTTGAGATCTTGTTTGGTTCTCTTTCCCAGGATCAGAAATTCCAAATTTAGAGGGACAAAAATGGAAGAAAATAACATTGCATGACAATGGACACTAAGTTCATAAAGAACTTTTCTTTAAAAATGATATATTATGGAAGAAAATACCATGAAAATAATAATCCTATGAGAATTGTTTTTTAAGCACAGTAAATTTGAGCCTTGGTCTTCATGAAGATACTACAGCTTATATAGAAAACTATAAATATACAAGACTCCAGGAAAAAAAGTCAGAATACGTATTATTTAACATTCTGTAGGCCTAAAAAACTTTTGAAGGGAGGGAGAAAGATGGCCAACTGAATCTTCACTCAAGAATACAGAACTATGAAAAATTCCTGGGTCAAAAGTTCCAAGATGCTCCAAACGGAACCACACTTTGTGAAAACATACAATTTAGATATACTTTTTAAAGGAAAGAAGTACTGAATAATTGCAGTTCCTTCCAAAAAGGAGATCTTAAATTAAGGGGAAAAGATTCTAATAGTGTAAACGAATCTGGCTCAGAAAGAAAACTGAATAACATATCCAATGTTCTGTCCATAAAAGTAATGATGGTACATCTTTAATATTAAAGAAATAGGCTATAAAAAAGTTCATTCTCAGAACTGGTTTTAGTAAAATCTTATTTGTGCTCCTTTGTGGGTGCATAATAAAGTTCCATGGGTTTGTTCACCTTCCAGTATTTCTCACTGACCAATTCCAAAGAAAAAGAGCCATTTAACACTTCTCCTTTGCTTCGAAGTTCTTCTAAAGCTAACCTCACAGCCAGATACTTGGATAAGTGATCAACAGTGGCATTACCTGAAGTCTTTATGTATCTGGAAAAACAAATCATTAAAACCTTAATTTCTAGATTAATGATAAAAATATATGTAAATTATAAAACACATTTCCCAAAAGCCATACAAAATGCAAATGTCTCAATTATTGACAAAATAATATCAGGAATTTATTCCTCTATTATCTAAAAATTTCTTATTGAAAGGTACAGGAAGAGAGAAAAGGGTCAAGCTCACATCCACCAGGCCATGAAAGTGCTACCTACCTTACCATCCATAATATGACATAAAATAACAAAAATCAAATAGAAATACATACTGCACTGAGAGGAAAGAAAGAACATACCGCTCAACCCCAACAATCAGTTCTGAATCTACAGCAGCAAGAATACTACTAAGCATATAAGCAAACTTCTTCTTGTCTAAGAATTAATTATTTTCAGGTTTTTCAGAATGAGCATAAGTGCTAATTTTCAGATTTTTTTCAAGCATGGTATATCATTCACTCACTCACTCAACCTGATGTGTATCTGCACTTAATGGCAGGTAGTGTGCTCTCTGGAGAGATATGATAAAGCAGACATCCTGGCCAGCCAAACATTTTAGAGCATTATTAAGAAATTTAAATGATCCTTTCTCCTCCTCTACCTAGGAGGGTCATTCCTTTCAGATATGCAACTGCAGATGGCAAGCACATGAGGAATAAAGAAAACAATAATGCAGGCAGCTAAAATATCCAACTGACCTCTGGCAAACAATGGGATGACAAATATCACCCTTAGTTCTTACCTGAAATGGCTTTTTAACTCCAAAGGAAACATTCTAAATTCAGATAATCTGAAACTAACCCCCACTTACCTTGTCTGTGCACTGTCATCTTTTTCCATAAGTGTGGGATGAGGCCTGAATACTAATTCAATTTCACTAGCGCCATCCATTACTGGGTCAATTGCCACTGCTGCATTATTATTATCAAGCTCAAGCCCAGAATCATCAGATGTTTTGGTCCGTTTGTTACTAGGTCCTGCTTCCTGATTGCTGTGCGTGGATGCGTTACTACAGTGAGAACTGTCTCCATTGTCTTCTGCTCCACTACCATTTTCAATCTGTTGTTTCTTACCTCGCTGTAATCTAGTTAAGAGGAAAATAACATAAAACAGGTTGCATAGAATTTACATGTAGACCGTCTCAATGCATCAAGTTTGAAGTACATTTATTGAAGTTATTAAATTCTAAGCTCCCTGGTAGCCTAAAGGTTAGGGTTCCAGACTTTTATTGCTGTGGCGTGGGTTCAATCCTTGGTCGGGGAATTGAGATCTTGAAGCCACTTCAGTGTGGACAAAACAAAAACAACCTAAATTCTAAAAACATCTTAGTAACTGAATTTGCTCCAAGTTGAATAACGGCCATCTATTTCCCACACGTCCCTGGGAAGTTCAGGGAAATACACACAGGCAAACATGTGAACAAATTTAACAAATACTTACATTCATTGAAAATTTTTCTTTTTTGATTATAGGTACTACTGGCAAATACTTATTTACATTTGGATACTTTTCTTATGAGATTTTAAATCGAAAGAAAGGTATAATTCAGATATGTTAAGCACTCTCTGCCTGCTGACCTCACCCAAAGCCAGCTAATACAATGCAAAATTATTCCAATACAAAAGATAAGATATCTAAATATAGAGCATGAATACAGAAGCATCTCTCTAACAAGCTCAAATACTATAAACCGGTTAACTGGGCAAGGTGCTTTGTGTACACATCTTATTTATTCATCAAAACAACCGCCAAGGCAGTTAATACCATCATTTTATAATTGGGGTGGAAGATGGGAACTTAGCAGACAGCTGAAGAAACAGTGTGTGCCATACAGATTATCTCTGAAAGACAGAACAGTAAGTATAAAGGTGTCAAGGCAGAAACAATCTGGCTAAGTCTGAAAAACACCGAAGAAGCTTTAATATTGCTAGCAACTGAACGAAGCTTCTATCACATACTCTCACCACTAGAAATGTTCAAGCAAAATGAAGTCTATCTATAAAGGATTTCACAAAGGGGATTCTTTCTCCTGGTAGAAGACTGAAAGTCTGCATTTCAGAATCACTTCTAGAAGCTTTAAATATGAATGCCTGATCCCCAATCAAAGATTTTGATTTACTTAGCCTGGAGTGATAACTTTGAGGCTCTAGGACTCAAAAACTTCCCAAGTGATTCTGATGTTCAGCCAAGGTGAAAACCACTAGACTGGGATGTGGCTTTGGAAAGTCCTGACTCTCCCTGAAGCCTAAACATATAAGGAGATGTCAGAGCAGAAAAAAGAATGGAGGTGAGGAAAGTGCTCAGATTATACAGAGCTTTGGAAGCTACCATTAAGGTCTTTTAGCCTGAATGTGAAGAGAAGCTATTAAGAGGCCTCAAAGCAAAGGAGAACTTGGACCTGACTTTCACCTTATCATTCTGGCTGCTGTGCTGAGAACAGATGCTGTGGTGGTAAGCATGGACAGTAGAAAGACCAATCAGGAGGCTACTTCAATACTTCAAACGAAAAACAGTCACTGCTTATGCCAACTTGGATATATTATTGGAAAAGCTAAAAATATATTTACTCACAGACTGGTATACAGACTGGGAAAAAAAGAGAGAGATTAACAGTAACTCCTAAATTTTTGGCTAAAGCAAGTGTGATGATGATGTTTCCATCAACTGAAATAGCAAGAAAGAAGTAGGGGGCAGAAACTGACAATTCAGTACTGAGCATGTTAAGTTTGCAGAAGAGAAACAGCTAATGACATACAAAGGGAACCGGGAGAATATGATCTCTTGAAAGCCAGGGAAAGAAAACCAATCAAAGAGAAATTAACTGTGTAAAATACTAAGTAAGATGAGATCTCAGAATCAGCGACTAGATTTTTCCATGGAGGTCAATGCTAACTTTGGTATGAGGGGTGGGGGTAAAGCCTGACTGGGGGAGTTCAAAATGGGAAGAAATCGGAGCTGGTGAGCACAGACAACTCTTATGAAGAAAAGAAGAGAAGTACAGTGGTGAGTGGCGAGAGAAGCGGGTATATGAGAGGTGAGGTTTTGTTTTGAAGATTCTATTACTTTAAAAGGAATCCCCTATTATCCCAGGAGACATATATTATACCTGCATGAAAAACTAATTACACAGAACTACTGTTGGTTACTGCATTTTATCTTTTTCAAAATGGAAGGTGTTAAGTAAATTCAGTATTTAATAAAATATTCAGAAAAATGGCCACCCTATCTGGCCTTCTTGCTCATGTACCTGTTCATAGCCTGTATCTTCAGTCCTTCCTCAATGCTGTGACTGAGTGCTTGCTGATTATTGTGCTTGTTGATCCTGGCTAATACTCTTTCTTGATGAGCTTCATACTCATCACGACTTGGATAAATTTTGCTGATGAGTGCATCAAAGTTTGGGTCTGGTCTTAGTGATCTTTTGGAAACTAGCTTTTTCCGACAGGTAGGGCATTCTTTATTGCTAAATAAAGAGAGGGAAAAGAAAATGTAAGTAATACCATTATCTTTGGGCTGAAGACAAAAATAGTCCAGATTATTATCATCCTTTTCCCAATACCTTTACTAAGTCACAGAAATTTAAACTGATCAACCTGACTTTCCATGAATATCTGACTAGTGGCTATAAGCACGATCTTTGAAACCTGAGATACTCTCTACTACCTGCCAATAGAGAAAAATCTAAATACTTCCCTATGATAATTTATATATAACCATTTTAGAAATGAAAATCTAGTCTTTCCTAATTTAAAGTTCCCCTTTCTGATATCCATGCCATACAAGGAAAAACTATCCACTAATAAATATTCATGTTATCAATTATTTTATTAAAATAGCTTTCATCATCATATTATTTTACATACGTAAGAAGTGGAAAAACCGTGGTTCCAAGCTTTGTAGTTTCCTCAAAATAAAAACTCATCCTGAAAAGCTTCTAAAATTATATAAAACCAACTGTTTCAAAACAAAGATTCTCCAACAATTACAACCTAGACTTTAGATAAATTTCCAATTCTCAAATGAATATGTATTTCTTAAAACCCAGAGCACTAGAATACTGTCCTCACATAGTTTAAATACCTAGGTATCACTCATTTTAACATACCCACTTCTGAGGGCTGTGATAATGCAGTCTGCACAAAAACGATGTAAGCACTCTTTTGTAGTCATGGTGTTCTTCAACATATCCAAACAAATTGGGCACATTAATTCACTGTGTAGACTTCGAGGTGAAACCACAATTTCTAAGCCATCTGTTATTGCCTCCTGTAAAAACATCACTTTAAAATTAAATGCTACCTATTTTTTTTTTTTAAGTTATGGACAAGTTCAAATATACAAGAATACAGAAGAGACAAAAATGAACACCTGTGTAGCCATCATCCAGTCGCCATCACTGTCAATTCACAACAATCTTGTTTTATCTATAATCTCCTTCAACTTCCCTAAGCCCCAGCACCAAAGCATTATATAAATCTGTTATCATAATGTTAAAGATAGAATATCATATATTTAAAAGACAACTAATGGTAAATTAGTCTGGTATAATTTTAAAACAGCACTGAATATGGAGTCAGATGGCTTAGGTTCTAGTTCAACAACTAGCTCTGCAACTCTGAAAATTTTAACATTGTCTTCTTACCTGCAAAATGAGGAAGTTAAGGCTAAAGGAACCCTAAAAATTCTTCCATCTGCAAAAGTACAACATTTTGATAATAAACTATATATTTCATGCCATCCATTAAAAGATTTTAAAATATGAATTTAAATATTCTGTATGCACAGTTTAACAGGATTTTGTTTTAAAATCACTTTTTGATCCTTAAAAAATCTTGATCCACAGAGCAGTTTTCTACCAAGTGGTCAGGTTCTCAGGCTAACCTACAAACTGACTTAAACTATAGCACATCTGTCTGAAGTAAAAAGTATTAGTATCTCTAATTGTCATGACTAAAATTGTTGTCAGTGAGAAATGCATCTGGAGTTCCAATGTAGAATTCAGGCCACATCTTCCAGAGGCACAGATTAGTGACTCCTACACTTTCTCCATCACTACCACTACTGACTGTTCCCACAAGGCAGCACTGAGAACCAAGGCACCGATATAGGCTCCTATGGATTGAGGAAAGAGGTCTAGTTAGTGGCCACTGAAAAGGAAGATGCAGGTAGAAATAAGGGCTTCCAACAGGGTTACTGACACTTCCTATTTCCACTGGCTCTCCATCATGTTTGTGTTTTCTCTATAGGGTCAAAGATTGATGACTCCACAAGAAAAGACAATGAAACTTTAGATACTTGTCCCTTATCAAGTATCTCTCATATTTCAACCTTTCTATATAAAGCACCTTCTGTATTTTACTTAGTTTAACATGTACACAAACTTTTGACTTAGGAATTATAACCTCCATTTTATGAATCACACAGGGTATGATGATGACCCAGCTAGTAATCAAGCCTGTCCCCCTTGGCCCCTTGAAAACTTGCCTAGCAAAATCCCAAGCCTGGATAAACCATCCATCCAGGTTTGCATGTCTGCACCTGTGTATCTGTGTAGCACTGCAGAGGGGAGAAGGGGAGGAATCACACAACCAGACTGGTATCAGTAAAAACTCACTTTTCTTTTCACTACACTGTTTTTCACACCTTTTTTTCTATCTGCAGACCTTCTATCATGGAAATGTTAAACAGATTACCTTACCTCAAATTCATTAAAAGAGAGCTCTCATTTTCTCTCTACCTGATCTTTATAAAGCATCTTCCTCGTTCTTATTACAAGGAGAAAGTACACCACTTCCTATCAAATATATGCTCTTTCCTATCTTCTCAAGCATACTCCCCTTTCAATTATTCTGTCTGCTCTCAAACTTCAACAATCTCTCCCTCCTCACTAAATCAATCTGGATTAACATAGGGTTGCGGCAGTGAAACGTGAACCTTAGAGCTTTGTGCAGAGTGAAATGGGGTGAGAGTAGTTCCACTTCTCATTAACAAAATTTAAAACTTCCTGATTCTACGCTCCCCTCAAGTTTTCACTCATTCGGCTCCTCTGCACAGCCAAACTTTTCTAAAACATTACCTATTCATCTTCACCTCCCCTCCTCCCCCTTTAACACAGCACAACCTACTCAAGTGAACCTATTCTTCTCAAGGGTTACCAACTATATACTGCCAACTTGAATGTTCACTTTTGTAATCCTCATCTTACTCATCCTCTCAGTAGTACTGAACACAGTAGCTGCATCCTCCTTGAAACACTCTGTCCTCTTTTTTTTTTATCTCCTCTCCTCATCTCCCATTTTTCCTTCCATTTCTGGGGTTGTTCCTTCTCAGTCTCCTTTCCCATTACTTAATTTCTAAATGCTGAAGCTCCTCTGGATAAAGTTCTGAGCCTTCTGCTCATCTCTCTCTCTAGGCAAACCGGCATTCCTGTGGTCAAAATGCACAGACACGTCCTAAAACTTTATATTTAGCCCAAACCCCTAGGTAGCATTTCTGCTTGTCTTACAGGCATTTCAAACTTTCAGACTTCAGTTTTAAGGATGTTTATCTCCTTCAAACTTGTTCCTCTCCCAGTCTTTCCCATCTTCACCTTCTCAAAATAGTTACCCTGTTATTATTACAGCATCGAGGAACTTTCCTATATACAACTTCTCATATGTGTAATTTACCTGCTTGATGCCTAAACTCCCTGAGCTGATCCCACATCTGTTTTATTCACCACTTTACACTAGTCCCTAGTTTAGGACCTGGTACACAACAGGCACTCAAATTATCTCTTCAATGAATGGTCAACCAACATACCCAAAATTTAGGACTATTTTGTATATAAATGTATTATTACAGTTATGGTCTTTCAAATTTTCATTTTCTAAAAATATATTCCAATTTACATATGTCTCATATTTTCCCTAAATTATCTTGGTCTACATTACCTGAGGTGTTCGTTGTAGTTCATATAAACTGAGTTCCCATGTTTTGCTTAATGGTTGAGTTCCATTAGTCTGCACAGCCTGAGACATTGCTAGGAATAAAAACAAGAGAAAAACACTTTAGTATCTGAAAGGGAAGTAAATCTCAAAACTAATTTTTAGACACTGTAAATCCTGAGAATAATTATTAAAAAAAAGTACACACTAGTTCAAGAATGAAAATGAAGAAAAGCTCAAGAATATTTCCATTTATAAATACAAGCTACTTGACAGCAAGAGGCTATCACTGATCCCTGAACACCTAACAGTCCGCATACAGAGAATGCTTCACTATTACTAATGTATAGAAAATCCTCTTCACCCAAAATAACACGTGTCTTTCTGAAACTAGTGGTCATGGAACTTAGAACTAAGTCAGGAAAATGTCAGACTTCTCAGCATGGTCACCGGGTTCAATTTTTCCCAGAGACACAGAATCTACCTTCTGAGCGCTTTAAGCCACTGGTCATCCTGCGTCTATTTTCACAGCTCCACTCATGAAGACTCCCGTCTACTAAAGTCAGCTTCTAATTCAGAAAGCTCCTCCTAATGACGAGTCCAAAACTGCTACCCATCCCCCCTACAGCTTGCCCTCTGGAGGCAAGCTGATTAAGTCGAACCATTTTGCTACGCAACAGTCTTGCAAATATTTGGACACTGTTATCATATCCCACCTGATTTTTCTTTACTTCTGGCTGAATGTCCTAGTTTCTCCTACTGCTCACCATTTGATACAATTTCAAGGTCTCCTTGAGTTCTAGTTCTTTAATGGAGCACTAAGGGAGTGGCAGTGGTCCAGTAGACAGTGAGAAGGAAAAATATCACACTTGCCTAAAGACACAATTTGCACCATCACAGTACATCATATACTCTACACTGGCACATAAACAACGAAGGACATGATCTATCTGTATCCAGGATGCTGAATTTCCCACTTTTAGCAGATACCATTTTTAAAATATCTGCTCAAGACTCCACCTAATGAGCAATTAACTTTGCTTTTATAAGTAAAAGCACTTCACTGAACTTTAACCTAAATTCTAGTCCCCTCTAAAATTCAATTCACACTGTCTCATCGACAGAAAGCTACATTTCCATATGAAATTTTGCCTTTGTCCAAGCAAAAATGTGAAATGTTCAAATTTTTCAAATTTGAGTGAATCATGAATTTTGTTTTTAATTTTGAGGCTGTCCACTGAGTCTACCCTAAAGCCTTGTTCATTTTGCTTATTGGAACTAGTGGACTCCCAAACAAGCAAACATTCCTTAAGCCTTTTGTCCTTGAACCAAATTATCATTCAGGTGCTGTATGATCCCTGATCAGTGTCCCCTACAGTAATCTGGAATCTGAGCAATTTTCCTCAGCTAGTATAGCTGAGTTGCAGTCACTAGACTAGCTGAGTTTGTTAATTCTATGATTAGCATCCTGTGGTTCTTTGAGTATCTCCCTGAATGCTTTAACTCTATTCTCTGAGAATCATAAATTAAAAGAATTTTGTGAAAGAAACTTCTCCTTGATGAAATACTCTTTTCTGCATCATTCAATCTTCAGAGGATCAGATGATGGCACAGGCTCTACTAACTGCTATGTAGTTAAACTTTAGCAGCCAACGGATACAAGAGACCCAAGAGACCAGCGTCTGCTCTCTGGAGCAACAAACTCTGCCATAAGCCTCTCTAAAAACGTTCACAAGGAGATATCTAAAAGAGACATCACTTTGTTTAATGGAGGAGGCCGTTCATTTCTGTACTCAGGGACTAAGGCTAACATTTCTGTACTCTAGGGACTAAATCATGGTTTCTAGCCACCACTTTATGGGCTTCCCAGGCGGCTCAGTGGTAAAGAATCCGCTTGTCAACGCAAGAGACACAGGTTTGTTTCCTGGGTCGGGAAGATCCTCTGGAGAGGAAAACGGCAGCCCACTCCGGTATTCTTGCCTGGAAGTCCCATGGACAGAGAGGCCTGGTGGGCTACAGTGGGACACGACTTAGCAACTAAACAACAAGAAGCCACCACTTTACGAACACTGCTTGATCCTACTGTATGCAGCGTGCCATCAACACAACCAAAACAAGCTCTAGCAAAGAAAGGAAGAGAAGTACCAAAACACGATGGCCAGTCTTTCTGACTGCTATGCTGAAGCCTTAAAATTAAACTTGGACTTCAAAGCAGCATGTCTTTAAAGACTCTAGCAAAGAGAAAAAGCATTCAGATTATCTGAAACCTGCCCTCCTTACACACCCAGCATTCTGTTTTGGCATCACCACCTTTCGTACTCTCTGTCCCCCTTTACTGTCTCCCCTGAAACTCCAAACGAACTACCTTTTCCTCAAGGTCTTTCCCAGGAAAACCACCAATGACCCACACCCACTTAAGACTGCTACAACGGTAGATAAACCAATGGAAACTAAAGGAAGGTACAGTCTAGGGTTAACAGTCATAATAAAAAAACTTTCCAAAACCGTAAGGCAGAGAGACTAAGGGCTGCTATTGGATTTCATTCTGTTAAGACACTGTGTCCAGGAATCCCAGGCTTATATTAATGACTCCATTTACTTGTAGCCTCTCAGATGAATAAAGTGTTGAAAACTGGCTGGAAAAACAGAAAAAAAGAAAGTACAAAACACTCCACAGGAGACTAGGGAATGCAAGGAACTAGAAAAAGCAAGAAAACATGAGTGATACACAAGCCTTTTCTGATGTCTTCCCTTTAAAAGTCAGACTAAAATTCAAGGTTGTGAGCAAGGAATGGAACAATAAATAGGAAACATATGAAACTGGCATCAAAGTGTACAACCTGTATTGTGGGACAGGCCCAACAGACAATGTAAAAAGAACCTGCCCTTCTTTTTCTTAACAGGCTAACATCTAAAATACAGGATTAAAAAAAAAAAGGAACAGAAATTTGCAACTTTGGATAATTTCCAACACAGCAGTTGAAAATGTGAGAAGACCTTTAGAAAACTGACAAAGTACAAACTAAAACAAACACACATGATACTTCAGATAAAAAAAACAAAGGTCCTTTAGCCTCTTAAGTTTCAAGGACCTATTTGTAAAGATACTGACAGATACAGCAATCAGAAAAAATAAGTGGAAGAGGCACTGCTCCGTATTAGCAAATAAAGGGTATATGTGGGGTGGGGTCGGGTGGGATGTGTGTGTGTAAAGAACAATGGCCTCAAACCTACCAAGGATGCAGCTCTGAAGACGACTCTGGAATTCACTGAACTCAAAGTAAACTACCTTTAAATACAGCTTCCCTGTAAATACACATGCCACTTTTCTACCATAAACTCTATAATAACAAAATGCATCCATCAGAGAACTAAAACTACTAAGACAGGAGGAATTTCTCAGAACTCTAAATCCTAACCCACGTCCCAACACTGTTACCCTGGGGTCAACTATAAACAGAACACTCCTTTCATCTGTCTGTTAAACGCTCCGCCAGCAAACTAATAGGAACTGTCAAATAAAATATTCTCCTAAAGCCTTGTTTCTAGAGATATCAGTTCCACTGAAAATAGCCAAATTTTATCTGATTTGGATATTTGTATACCTGTGGCAACTAAGATTTAGGAAGTAAACCACAAGCTAGTCATAGCTCCAAAACATCACAGTATCATTTGGAAAACCAGGATCAATATGACTTTTGAAAATGTTCCAGTCTTTCTTTTTGAATCTGTATTACAATCAATCATAAGTTCCTTGGTACCTAGTCTTAAATGCTACTGCATGAATGCCAATGCCATCTTACCAGATAACACAGCAGGTGTTACCAAAAAAAAAAAAAAGGAAAAGGATACGGTCTTGCTGATTACCAAAACCACTACCTCATTTTTTTTCTTTTTTCTTTTTAAATTATGAAAGTATGATAACACAATTACAGGAGATTTGGAAAATACAGAACAAGGTTACATATAGTTCCACTATATATTAAATTATTTTTTAAGTAGATTAAGATTTTTTAGTTGGAGTTTCAATACCAAACTCTCAAAATTAACAGAATGAATATATTAGAGAAGTAGAAGGATATAGTAGACCTGAAAATCACTATGAGAACCAATTCAACATAATTAAGATTTCTATAGTTTTCACACAACAGTGGGATACAAGTTCTATTCAAGTTCCCAGACAATAAACCAGGAGACATTGGAAGATAACCATTAACATAAAACAAAGTGCAAAAATTTCATGGTCTAAAGATACTGAAATAGAATCTGTTCTCTTATCATTGTGGAATTATGTTAGAAATCAGTATCAAAAGATATTTGAAAATAACCCACATATTTTCAAGTGCAATGTGACATTTACCAAGAGAGATCTTTGACTTCGCCATTGAAAGCCTCAGTAAAGGTAGAAGTCTACGAGAACACAGAGGGTATGTCTCAATTTTTAAGAACCTGTCGGCAGTGAAGATATCAACAATATTTAGTAACATCTCCTGTGATCTGTCCAAGGAGGGTCAAAAGGGGATCTGAGATGAAAACTTCCATTTTCTGACTCAAGACACAATCCACATATACAGAGGGCGCTACAAATTCTACTTTGGCCTAAAGCACACGAACTACATGTACTCAGGAAGCTCAAACTTCCACTTTTGGCAGTTACCAAACAGATAAGCTCCCCAGAACTAGTTTCTCTTTGCTTTTAAGTCAATATATAATTTTTCACTTAAATTTAACCTCAATTCTACCCTTCCCCCAAATCATATACAAACTTTCCCCTTCTCTGATTTAGTGACAAGCTGCATTTCTGTCTGCAGCTACTTCCTGCCCAGGTCAGGAGCACGAAAGACATTCAGCTTCTTCTTCTGGTGAGAGTGAACTGTGGCTTTGATGACCCGTATTTGGGAGTCGTCTAGATATTCACACTACGGACATATACACAGATCAAAGAAAGAGAAAAGGAGTAAGAATGCACGGCCTAGGAAATAACTACAATCTGAAAGGCTGGAAAGTAGAGCTGAAGCCAGTAAAGGAGGGAACTGAGGTGTCGGACAAAGTAGACTCTTTTCAGTTAATAGGAGTTGACTACTGCCTGAAGATCCCTGCCGCAAAACAGAAGATCTAGGTCTACCCATGGGCCAACCCCCACCCAAATGACACTTAATAAGAAAAGGGATACCCAACAAAACAGAAATGTTTCTTGCACAAAGCAGACACACAAAGTTGTGAAGCGAATATTAGCATTACAGTTCAGACAAGGCAATTTTAGTAGCAGTGACAGAAACAAAATAAATCCTGAGAAAAGATCTAGTCACAGTTACATGTTGAGAGTTCACAGCTTCAATAACCAAAGGGAAAATATCAATAGTATATTCAGAATGTTCTTGGAAGGACCATAAATACCTGGCTTTCATGCTGACTCTCCACATTGTCACATATGGCAGATCACAAAGTCCTTTTGTGGACCCTCAATGTGGTTTCAAAAGCTTTTTCAATACAACAACCTCAAGGTAACTGGATGGCATCACCAACTCCATGCACATGAATTTGAGCAAACTCTGGTAGATGGAGGACAGGAAACCTAGTGTGCTGCAGTCCATGGGGTCGCAAAGAGCTGGACATGACTTTAGCGACTTAACAACTGAACATCACCACTCAACAAGTGACTCAGTTCAGTTCAGTCACTCAGTCATGTCCGACTCTTTGTGACCCCATGCACTGCTGCACAGCAGGCTTCCCTGTCCTTCACCAAGTCCTGGAGCTTGCTCAAACTCACATCCATCAGGTCGGTAATGCCATCCAACCATCTCATCCTCTGTCGTCCCCTTCTCCTCCTGCCTTCAATCTTTCCCAGCATCAGATCTTTCAAATGAGTCAGTTCTTCGTATCAGGTGGCGCAAGTATTGGGAGTTTCAACTTCTGCATCAGTCCTTCCAACTAATATATAGAACTGATTTCCTTTAGGATGGACTGGTTGGATCTCCTTGCAGTCCAAGGGCCTCTCAAGAGTCTTCTCCAACACCACAGTTCAAAAGCATCAATTCTTTAGTGCTCAGCTTTCTGTATAGTCCAACTCTCACATCCATAAACAACTACTGGAAAAACCATTGCTTTGACTAGACGGACCTTTGTCAGTAACATCTCTGCTTTTTAATATGCTATCTAGGTTGGTCATAGCTTTTCTTCCAAGGATCAAGCGTCTTTTAATTTCATGGTTTCAGCCACCATCTGCAGTGATTTTGGTGCCCAAGCAAATAAAGTCTGTCACTGTTTCCATTGTTTCCCCATCTATTTGCCATGAACTGATGGGACCAGATGCCGTGATCTTAGTTTTTTTGCATGTTGAGTTTTTCTCAACACTACTACTAAAAGCAGTTTTTCTCAGAGGCCACTACTAAATGCCTTTTTGCATCAAGTGACTACCCATAAAGAAAAGGGTAGAAAAGGGGGGAAAAAAAAAAAAGGAAACTCCTATGCATTCTACAGAAAGAGGTTTACTAGCTTATCATTCTCTTTTCAAAAAAAAATAAGAAAAAAGGTTAAGACTTTCATTTCTAGTTCTGCATGTAAAGGTGAACAGACTGAAAAATCAACCACTCCTCCAGGATCCATAAGTGAGGGGAGGACAGAAGGATACCGACTGTCCCAAAACTGGAGAGACAGAATATTGGGAATCTCAACACCTCAACTGCAGGAGGAACCAGTGTCAGGTAGGAAACTCTGTACTTGAAAAAGTCTTGGAGTATGCTGTGTGTGGACAAGTATGAGAGTTAAAAAGTCCAGGAGGACCCAGTCACAGGGAGGGGAGCCCCCAAAATACTGTCACATTTACCTCCAGAACCGCAAACAGGTTCCCACAGCAATTATCAGAGAAAAATCCCTTCATGCTACCAGCAGAGAGTGAAAGGAAACCATTTTAAAATATGCCAGAGCATTCTATTTCTTAACAAAGCCTGCCCTCAGAGAAAACTAGGTAACCAGAACCTAACCTGCTGGGATATTATCAGAACCTAAGTGACATGGGGAAGGGAAATAACCAACTCCAGTCCATTCTAGTCATCCTGTCCCACCTAAAAGGAGTTAAAAAAAAAAAACTAACAGCCACTAGTGAAGTTCGCAGTCCAGAGGAATACATTCTGAGACCAAATATAAGAGTACAGAACCGTCACTTTTCCCCAACACCTCACCACCACACTACTAAAAGCCTTTGTGCAACAGCTGCTTTTACCCAGTACATGTTGGCATGTCAGCAATAGAAAAAATTACAGGGCATACCAAATGACAAAAACATAATCTGAGAAACAAAACATCGGAACCAGACATGGCAGGGATACTACAATTAGTAGACCAGAAAAGACAGACATAAGAAAATTTAAAAGATAAGCCAACTGACAAAGAGAAAATATTTGCAACATACATAATAAACAAAGGTCAAAATCCATAATACATAACAGATCCTGCCCTAAGTCAATTTAAAAGACAACTCAATATAGGCAAAATGATGAATGGGTAATTAACGGGAATTACTAGTGGCCAGCAAAATTAAATCATGCTTAACTTCACTACAAATCACTAAACTGTAAATCAAGACAATGTTATCTATATATATGCTATATTTTTTGGCTGTGATGCTGACAAAAATTAAGATGATTGATAATACTGTTAGAAAGGGTGTACAGAAACAGGAATTCTCAAATCACTGGAAGTGTGCAGTGGCATGGTTTCAGGGATGGAACAATCTGGCTATTAAATTTTTATCATTCTAACACAAAGAATTTGGTTGCTAAAACATGTCCTGCAATTCACGCTTTAGGAAAAGTGACAAATTTTTTTAAATGAATACAAAAATTAATTTTCAGGACAAAAGTACATTAATCCCCAACTTAGAAATTAAAATTATCACTTTAAGTTTTTTCCAATATATTATATTTATGTGTCTATGTTACTGGAAAATGTGTACTTGTGTACTAATTCAATTACAATACAGACTCGTCTTTCGAAGATCCATCTAGGGACTTGAGACGCTAACCATAACATCTTTGGGCTTCCCTGGTAGCTCAGTGGTAAAGAATCCACCTGCAGTGCAGGAGATGCGGGTTCGATCCCTGGGTCAGGAAGATCCCCTGGAGAAGGAAACAGCAAGCCACTCCAATATTCTTGCCTGGGAAATCCCATGGACAGAGGAGCCTGGCAGGCTACAGTCCATGGGGTAGCAAAGAGTCAGACACGACTTGAGCAACTAAATACACACAAACACACAAAACATGGCTGCACGTAAATGTTCACTTAGTAGTTCCTGGCAAGCAAAGTAACGTAAAGGCTCCCCAAAGTGTCTTTTTGTTCCACCCCATCTATAACCCTCAAACTGGTTGAGGGGAGTATTTAAAAAACCATATAGACACTGTTACTGTTGTCTAGTCGCTGAGTCATTTCTGACTCTTTCATGGCCCATGGACTGTAGCCTGCCAGCTTCGCTGTCCATGGGATTTCCTAGGCAAGAAGTATTGGAGTGGGTTGCTATTTTTCTCCTTCAGAGGATCTTCCTGACCCAGGGACTGTACCCACATTCCCTGCATCTCCCACACTGCAGGTGGATTCTTTACCACTAAGCCACCTGGGATGCCGTATAGACATTAAATGTGGCAAAGAGCAGGTTTCATATGAAAAAAATGGAAGACAATACTAATACAGGTTCCATTCAACTCTTTGAGACCTCCAAAACCCTCAAATTCCTTAACTAGGCTATATATTTGCTCCCAAGATCATTCTCTGGCTTCCCTAGAAGGAAAAACAAATCCACTAAACCAAAAATTCCTCAAGCATAAAGTCAGCAAACTTCATATTTTAGGGATATCCTTGTTATAGTAAAATAAATGAGACACCTAGAAAGCACAGTGTTCTTTGGAACTGGATCAGCTTGAGTTTCCATCCTAACGCTGGCAGTTACTGGCTATGGATCCATGAGCAAACACTCAAGGTTTTATCTTTTAATCTGCAAAGTGACAAATTTTTTCAGGGTCATTGGTAAAGCTGAATGAGATGGGTCATATAAAATGTGTGGCATTTTATAAATGATAAGCCATAAAACTGAAAAGATATAATTTGTTTCAATAAATAGGAACTATTATTTCTTAGGCTCCCAATAGGTGAAGTACAAGGGTAAAAAATGATTTAGACACTCTCTAACATTAAAAATCAAAAATTTTACATAACCCCCTTTTAAAAATAATAATTTTATTCTTTTCGAAAAGACATTTTCATGGGGTTCTCATTCCCATCACGTCATGGCAAATAGAAAGGGAAAAAGCAGAAGCAGTGATAGATTTTATTTTCTTGGGCTCCAAAATCACTGTGGATGGTGACTGCAGCCACGAAATTAAAAGACGCTCCTTGGAAGGAAAGCTATGACTAACCTAGACAGTGTATTAAGCAGAGATGTCACTTTGCTGACAAAGGTACACAGAGTCAAAGCTATGGTTTTTCCAGTAGTCAGGTATAAATATGAGAGCTGGACCATAAAAAAGGCTGGGCACCAAAGAACTGATGCTTTTGAACTGTGGTGCTGAAGAAGACTACTGAGTCCCTTCAGACTGCAAGGAGATCAAACCAGTTAATCCTAAAGGAAATCAATCAACCTTGAATATTGATTGGAAGGACTGATGTTAAAGCTCCAATACTCTGGCCACCTGATGCAAAGAGCTATCTTGTTGGAAAAGACCTGGATGCTGGGAAAGTTAGAAGGCAAATGAGAAGGTGATGGCAGAGGATGAGATGATTAGATAGCATCACTGATTCAACGGACATGAATTTTGAGCAAACTCTGGAAGACAGTGAAGGACAGGGGAGCCTGGCGTTCTGCAGTCCACGGGGTCACAAAGAGTCGGACACAACTTAGCAACTGAACAACAACAAAGGAATATAAGAATGCTTCAGCATATGCCTTGTGTGATTTAAAAAAAATTGTTTTACTCAAACTAACAGGCTTATTTGCTCTCAAGAATTTAAGGCCTTTTCTGTAACAAACAAAAGTTACCGAAAAGGGCAGATGTGTCGTTGTCTATTGCTAGTAACCTGTATGTAGATGGATACTAAGAGTAGTTTCTGGAAGCTTAACGGAAAAAAGAAAGTTATTAGGAACATTTTTGGCTCAAATCCCACTAGAAACTTGTGGATTTTTTTATAAAAGGGAGCACTAGATGGCATTAAAAAAACAGCATCTTAAACCACAGCTTTGAATAACATATACAGACATTCAAATGCATGTTTCCTAAATTATCCTTCTCTTTCCCCAAACACATATATAACCTTTGAGAAGGTGAAGATACTATAGGCCAAGTACACTGCTGTCTGATCATTAATGATATAAGGCTAAAGTGTAGAGAACCTATACAATCTTTAAGCTTGGGCAGACTCTCAGTAAACCAGACTCAAGTCTCGAAGATGCCCTGGCACAAGCTGGGTCATAAAAACTCCTAACTCCATTCTCAATAAGAGTCTCAAGTGCACATTTTCTGTAGTCTGTGTGAAAGAAAAATTCCTATTAAAGAGCAGATGCACAGGCA